TTGATCCCCAGTGTTTGGGGATTTCCTGTTGTTTTGTGAGATGTCAGATATTTTATGTAAAAAATATGGAAATACTATTAGCTTCCAGATATTATCTTCCCTCTTCCCTGTGAGCAAGCATAACTCTTTGCTTCTGACAGGCTGTTTAGAGAATCTTAGTGCAATTAGTCTAGTGAACTCTAGTTACTTGCTAGCTGGCCTGAAAAGTCATGTCCACATCTAATTTTTAGGATTATTGAAAAATCTTAGGTGTCTGCAGTTATAACACATATCTGCTTAGTGATTTGTCTTTTGCCTTTTGTCTATCTCTATGGTACCTGACTCTTGCTTGAAGAGGTAAAGTGATGGAGTTCTCTGTTGGCTCCCATTTTTTCCCACGCCTCAACCCATAAGATTCTTACAGTCTTAAAACCCTTCAGTGCTTTCAAAGGGATCATTTACAAAAGTGTTTTAGTGGCATTGCTGAGACCGTAGTCTCTAAGGAAGTTATGCTATAAGTCAGAAGTCAAATGTTTTAAGTTTTAGCTCTTCTGTTTAACAACTGAACAAATCAAGTAAACATTCTGAACCTCAGTTTCCTCATAGGTTTACTATGTGGGTTAAAAGATGATACCTAAGTAATGCATTAGGAATCATGCTTAACACAAAATAAATGCTATGTAGATTTTTGCCATTATCATAATAGCCCTGTGAAAGACATATGGTTAGCCATCAAAACAGTGTTTGGATTTAGTTGTATAGAGTAAAGCCTATAAATATATGTATAAAAAACATAGGCTACAGTTCAGAGGTCATGTTGGAAATTTAAAGGGGACGGACTCTTTGGATTATCACTGTTAGGATAACATACTTAGAAGAACATTAAATCTAGTGTGACATCACTGATTTGGGAATGAAATCAACACAACGCCAACTAAAGAGATTGATGCTTAAATCAAAAGTCCAATCAACGTATTAATATTCAATTAAAACTGTATCTTCTTGTATCTTCTAAAAGTCCTTGTACTTGTATCACTAATACTTTATCTGTTTATAAACATTTGTATAAAGTCAAATTGTGTCTTAAGAGGTATCTGGTGCACAGTGGACTAGGGCAGGAGGCACCTACAGTTCCAAAACAATGTGAAACAAACACTGATGAGTGTTACTCTTTAACCTTCCCACTTTCTGATTAATTTATTCTTTGCTGTATCTATGAAAGTAATGGTTGAAGATGGGGCCATGTTTTGTTTGTTTTTTGAATGAGTATAATATATAGTAGTTACCTGGGAGATCTTGTAATCAAACATACCAGAGTGCAAATGCCATCTGTTTCATTTAAATAGGTTTGTGATCTTGGGCAGTTTTTAAAAAATGCTTTAGGCCTCAGTACAAATGAAGCATAAACTTGTCTCTAAGGAGCATTGTGATAGTTAAGGTACATTATTAATTTAAGGTCTTTGCCCTTCTGAAATTTAGACCATGCTCAATAAATGGTTGTTATTAGACTTCTGGTTAAGGAAATAGAATCCTCACATATTTTTGGCCATTGCATATTTATCTTATTGTTTTACTCTTTATTGCCTCGCTAACTTCTATCCTTTTACAATTACAGATGTTTTTCATTTGGTATTGGAGAAGGCGCCTCCACCAGCCTAGTAAAAGGCATTGCCCGGGCATCAGGGGGCACTTCAGAATTTATTACCAGCAACGACAGAATGCAGTCTAAGGTAAGGGTCAGACCAGGTGTTCACAGGTTATGAGCCACAGAAAGTTTGGGGGCAAGGGGATGACATTGCTATGTACTTCTTGCTGATGTGGTAGGGGCTCCTCGTAGTTACGACATTAAGCCTAGTTAGAAACCCAGAGATGACCTTCTAGAGAAGGTTAGGGATTTGTATTTAAGAACAGAAACTAAGAGCTTGACTGTCATGATTGGGATTCTAGGTATATGCTCTAGACTCTCTTTGCTATTAAAATCTTACCCTCCATGCAAGAATACAGAAAATGAGAAGGAAGGATTATGGCATGTCTGGGAGATTGGACGAAGTGGTGCATTGATGCACAAGGAAAGGCATTTCCCACCTCTGATTACATTCCTGAGTTCCTCTTGCTCAAATGCTGCTCTCTTGCTTAGCCCTACTTCTCTAGGGTTTCCTCCCTCAGATGTTTCCCTCCTTCACTTCTGTGCATCCAATCTGTCAACTTTAACTGTAGAGAGTAATAATGCCCACCTCTGTGGACAGTGTTAAAGATTAGACAGGACCTGTATTGTGGTGCATAGCACCTGATGCATAATAAATATTCAACCAATAATAGCTATCGTTACCGTTACTATTTTGTATGCATATTCTGTTCTTTCCTCACCCAGGCTCTTCGATCCTTGAAACGTGCATTGCAGCCTGTGGTGGAGGATGTCACACTGAGCTGGGATTTGCCTTCTGGTCTGTCTGCTAAAATGCTTTCTCCAGAACAGACTGTCATCTTTAGGGGTCAGAGGTTAATCATGTATGCACAGTTGAATGGGGTGATGCAGGTGAGTTCCTGTTCTTTTTGGGCCTAGAGTAGCTGCTGACCTGAATATTTCATTAAAATTATCAAAAGAGGGTCCTCCCTGGTGGCACAGCAGGTTAAGGCACAGCACTGAGAAGCTAAAGCCACTTCCACATGAGTTCGATCCCGCCTGCCCCGGAGGTGACCACATGGCGTGGCAGACTTTGCCTGACCCGCCCGCTGCTCCCCACAGCAAAGAACTTCGTCAATCTGCCTGTTCTGCTCCCCACTCTGTCTCTGGTGAAGCCTCTCACTGCCTCTGTACCTCTGGCCTGTACCCCAGTTCTGTATGCATAATAAATCTTTTTAAAAAAATTATCAAAAGATAGTACTTGCCGAGTACAGCCTTCCTCTTTCTCCATCAATTCTGGTCTCAGATTTCCTAAACTACCTGTTCCTAGTAAAATTTTTGTTGAAGATTTATTAATTTATGCATCTAAGAACTGGGGTGGAGGCCACAAGTGTGGGGGTTGAGAGGATTCACCAGAACCAGTGTAGGGAGCAAACAGGTGCATCTACTATAATACATTGCTGAGGGGAGCAAAGGTGAGGCAGGAGAGGTCTGCTGCTCCCTAGCCAGGGATCGAACTGGTGCTAGAGATAGCTTTCATAGGGTTGTGTCTTCAACCACTGCACCAACAGGGAGACCCCTTAGTCAGAAATTGAGTGCTCCCTTCCTTCTACTCTCCTCTGATTTGTAGCCTGGAGAGGCAACAGGAGAAGTGTGCTTCCAGTACACATTCCAGGGCAAGAAGTTGAGCAATAAAGTGAAATTTTCTCTAGAGCCCAAGTTCGATGCCAAGTAAGAATTCATTTTCCTATTGTTATCTTCTTTCACTTTTCCTTCTCTCCCTCCCATTTGTTTTTTCTTTCTGTAATTCTCAAGAGTTGTTTTCCTTTCTCAGCTGTCTCCCTGCAATCATGTCTCCTTTTAAATCATGCAAATCTTCTCTCTTCCCCTTCTCTGTTCTTGTTTTCCCTCTCCATCTTTAACTGTGGTGTGCCCTGAATAACTGGTGTACATGTACTTTCCTGAGCCACAGGAATGCTTTTTCTTTCAGCCTCACAGTTCACCGCCTCGCCGCCAAGTCCTTTCTCCAGTCCAAAGACCTGGGCTACAGGGACACTCCAGCCAAAGATAAGAAAGACATACTGAAAGTCAGCATGGAGTGCGGAGTCATCAGCTCCCAAACGTCCTTCATCGTCATCAACAAGGAGGCCAGCACGCCAATCCAGGGGCCGCTGGCCCGGAGGGCTGTTCCAAGGCCAATGCTCTTGGGAGCTACTTTTGCACGACGACAGCACTCTTCCTGTGGTGAGTTTCATCCCATCCTAACTCGTAAAATTAGGATTCCTGCATGCCTCTATACCTCATTTAAAGGAAATATTAGACAGGTCCTCAAGATGCATTTTTTCCCTTGTCTTTCCACATCTAATGTTTCTGGCTGGTTTTCAGTTTTTCTGTCTCGTAATTGCACAGGTAGCTGAGGGACAGTCTGGTAGGAGCCATCCTCTGATACTGATTGTCTCAGTCATAAGCCAAGCTGGTTTGATGATAGCTATGGTGGTCCCCAGGGTTAGGATGAGGTAGAAAACAAGATTCTGAGACAGGATGGGAATATATATGCTAGTTCTAGTGGCAGCCTTCAGTGTGAGACCAAATTTCTGATTGAGTAGATGATAGTATAGGTTATTAAATAGAGAATAAAGAACAAAAGTAAGTTTAGGGGTGAAAACTTGAGATGCCTAACCTAAAGAGCATCCATATGAGGAGGTCTAAGTAGAAAGTGAGATAGATGGCTTTGGTGTTCAGAAGGAAGAGTAGGAATGAATGGAGATACCTATTTGACAGTATTTATAATTAGGTGATAACTTCTCATGAGGATCAATGATGCTATTCAGAAGGCAGGTAAAAAGTGATATGGAAATGAGGGGGGCAGAAAAGGTAACATTGAAATAGCATAGGGTATTTACTATGAAAAGAACCTATATTATAGAGTGCTGGAGTCTGTGAGGGGCTGTGCAGACACTCAAGTGTTATAGTGAAGAGGAAGGCATGTAGAGTGACATCAAGAAAAAGGGGTGAGGGTCTTTTTGGTATGTTTTATCTCTAAGATTTGAGGATGTTGTAACACAAATAGGAAAGCGCCAGTAGAGAAAGTTTGAAATATTGCTGAGAAGTGGAGTAACTGACAAATGTGTCTGAGGAAGCGAGAGGATGAGAGCAAAAGACACAGTGAGGGATTACCATTCAGTAGGACAAGTGTGAGCCTCCCTAGATTGCCAGGAAGTGGGAGAAAGGTGAAAGTTATTTTAGGATGAGGCAAGTTTTTGGAGTTTCTACTATCTGTTAGACTTTGTATAGTTTCAGTACAAGTGACCGATTGGAGACAGAATATGAACTTGAAAGTTAGTGTAGAGAATTAGGTGAGAGTCTTTGAAATAACCACTGTGGACTATTGGAGAGAAAAATTCCTAGGAGGAAAAAATGAGTATTTTTTAAGGAGTGTTAAGATCCTCTAGCTTAATGGAGATCATCATTCATGCGATTCATTTCAAGGATGGAATCGTGCCTGCTGAGTGTTATGAAGAGGAAGTTGGGGGTATGGAGTTGAAGATACTAATAAAGGGTGGTAAAGGGATGTAGGTTAAATGGAGAGAAGCGTAAAGATAGAAGGAAGGTGATATATAGAGAAAAAGCAGAGCAGTCAAGGATTTAGAGATCCAGATATCAAAGGCCAGGTAAAATGCAAAATATCCAAGTTAGAATGCTTGAAAAGTTGGATATTGTGTAGGCTTCTGATTCCCAATTTATTTTTTACAAGGGAGTAATTCTGCTTGGTAACAAGGTCTGGTGTGGGAAGGAGGTGACTATGGCCAAAGCCTTGACTTAAGCAGTCAAGAAATTTTGAATTAGGGTTATTTAGATGGTTACTGAATTCTCTTGAGATGGCCAACTTTGCAATGAAATAGAAATCTATGATTTAGCTCCCAGATACTTCAGTGAATGATGGGAAGTGACAAAGAGTTGGAGTTTTTGACAGCGATTGAGAATATGAGAAACATAATCCGAGTGAGGATTTGTAAAGAGCTGGATATAACCATTAGGGCTGAAGAAGTTGCTGCCCCACCTCCCAAACCGGGGTACTTGAGGTATAGTATACCTCCAGCAGCAACTATTTGACAGGAATTGAAGCAGAATAGTATTTTGGAAAGAAAATAGTTTTAAGTATAGACAAATAGTTGGAAAAGGCCTCTTGTAATGAAACTAAAGATGCAGCAGGGAAGATCATTGTGAAGTATCAGGGGTTCCAGACATACCCTAGAAAGATCTCAGAGGATGAGGGCTAATGGGAGAAGAAATGCACAATAAAGATGGTGACAGGCTGACATGGATACAGGGTATGTGTTTCGGATTATCAGTGCCTTTTGCCTACAGCAGCACTCAGAGGGCATCTCATTCACACTGTCTGTACTGGTCTTTTTCAGCTCCTCCCTCGGCCTTATCCTCCTTACATATTCCGATGAATTCAGCCACAAGGAAAGCCACAGGGAAATCATCTGGCTCAAGCATGCCATGCTGGCATCATTCTTGCAAAACTTCTAAGCCCAAGAAGGACAAGCACCTGTACAATCTAAGTGAGTATCCTCCCAGGAAATTTTTCTCACCCATGTCTAAAACATATCCAGAACTAGATGACTCTGAGCTATCTGCCCTATGGTCTTACAAGCTCTTTGACTTAGATGGAGGAAGAAATGCATGTCTTTCAGACATTCCTGGCAGAGCATGGGCTAGTTCTTCCACCAACAGCACCAATTTGGAAACTCACCAAATGGGTGAAGTAGGCTTCAGTGTGACCTATGGGGAGTGGGCAATTAATCTTTAATGCTCTGCTCTCTTGGGGGCTTGGCTATCAAGGAGGGACTTTGAAAAGCACCAGAGGGTGAGATGAGTCCAACCCCTGGAGGGTTAACTCCATTAGTCTGCAGTACAGGACTCTAAAGCCTTCTCCAATGAAGTATAGGTTGAGTGTTAGTACACACACACTCCCCTCATGTGGATAGGCTGGGACCCTCCTACAGCCCTCAGCGGCCACCATGTTTGTCACACAAAACCCACCGTCCCCCCCCCCCCCCCCCACTGCCTGGGCTGCCAATTCTCAAGTTGTATTTGAAAATTGTCTTCCTGATACTGTCTGATGAATTTCTCTCTGTCATTAGAGTGTTTCTGGGGTATTGTGTTCTGGGCAGCTAGGCTTCTCATGTACAAAATGAGTTACGGGGCATTTTGCTACTCAAGAGGGATGCATTTTCTACTAAGATAGGCTTAAAGACAACTTGTTTCTGGAGCAAGAGTAACATGCAATTGTTTGGACAAGTAGAGGAAATGAGGCAAAGAAGTTTAAATAGCAGCCAAGGAGAATGTTTAAAGAAAAGACTTTGAGGTCTAAAGTGGATTCTGTTCTCCAAATAACTGTGCATTGGTAGGCAAATTAATTCATTCTCAGAATGTTAGTTACTTCAGCTGCTTGGTTACTCACCTCAGGTGGTTGTAATGAGAACCTTCTAGTGTTGCTCATACATTAGATTTTCTCTTGGTTTCCTGTGGCATTCTGATAGCCAGTAATGTAGGATATCTCTGCTTTGAGCTTTTTTGCTGATGAGATCTTTTACCAGTGTGAAAGAAAAAATTACCCAGCAGTATTAGGATGCTAGTTTTTGTGAATTAATTAGCACTACTATTTATAGGGAGCCAATTAGGGGCTTTCCAATTATTTTACTTTCTTCTCCATGCTCTAGGCATTTACTTTCAATTTACCAAGATTCCCATTGATTAAATAATTGTTATATTTTCAGTGTTAGTGGAGATTCAAATTAAGGTATTGATTTCTTTCCCCACTAGAGAACTGTTTTTCTAGGTAGAGCAACTTAGAAATAAGTAGGCAAGAAACAAAGTAAATCATCCACTTGATAGCCAGATGTGAATGGTTTCTGTGAACATCATGTGGTCTTTAAGAAGCTTTTAATACCACCAGGATTTTAACACTAGGCTGCTTTTGGAGACAAACTGCTTCCTTTATATTTACCTTCACTTGAAGGTTTTGAGAATAAAAATTTCTAGACAAATATAGCTTAAATTTTAAATGTACCTAAAGCTTAAATACATAACAGCACCAAGTAACAGTTTAAAATAGCACGATACTGTGAGATTTTAGTACCCGTCCTTCCTTTTTTGCTGAATTTGTAAAAATCTTTCTTTCTTCGAGGCAGTGGGTCACCTTGCTGACCTGCATCATCATGAGGCTAGGCATGTCTCCTATGAAGAGGGCTGACCTGGGTCTGCTCAGCTCTGCACTCTTGCTCCACAGGCTGTTTCTCAATTCAGGCCTTCCTCTCAGATATGCCAATGACCAGCTACACCTCTACCTGTCACCCTCTTTTTCTCCTGCAGTCTTTGGCGATAATCACCTCGTGCAGTTGATTTCCCTCCAAAAGGCAAATGGCTCCTGGGATTTGGATGAAGGTTTGGCCATTGTCCTAGGTATGAATTTGTCAGACATACTGGCTGCTCTCCCTGTGAAGGTGAGTTTTGGAGAAGAAGAAGGAATAGTTAGTGTTGAAGGGTTAGGGTAAATATTGAGACTGGAGGTGAACCATGACTCGCCTGAGAAAGGACAATATGGGCCGTAAACTCGCTTTCTAGCAAAAGGTTTTCTGGGCATGTTAGAAGAAAAGGACAACAAACTAATCAGTGTTCTTGCTAGGGGAGGACACACTGATGGCTGAGAGTTGATTGATAACAGTGAAATCAACAATCCTCTTATAATATTAACTATATCCCCTGACAATTATTTTAGTTACAATATTCTCTGAGCAATTTCTCTAAGTCAACTCTGTCAGATGCTAGAAGGTCAACTTTGGGCAAATCATTTTGCTTCTAGATGAATGAATCTTGTCTTTGGTAGTGATTCAATCATAAAGCACCTTTATTATGCTTTTTTTTAACTGTAAAGTAACTACTGCATGTGTTGCTCTAATCACAACTGGGTAGTCCTTGTGGGGGCTGTCTTAGGCGTGTCAGGCACTATTCAGGTGGTTTTTCTGGAATTGAACTTAAGACCTTTCTACCCTCAGACTCAAAGGATTATTGCCCTGAGGTTCACACCCTGGCATTATGCCTTGTGTGTAGTAGATGGGGTAAAAAGAAAACTCCATTCATAACTGTTATGGGGTTGGCAAGTGAGGAGGGGATAAAGCTCTTTACATATGCATAAGGGCTTCTGGGAACTCTGTTCTAACACAGAATGCAGGTGTTCCAAGCTGGGCCACAGTCCTGGCAGTGCTCTGGCTGCATGCCAATGGGCAGGACTTGAAGTGTGAGTGGGAGCTTTTGGAACGAAAGGCTGTGACTTGGATTCACCTCCATGCAGGTAGGAACACAATCCTATGATCCCCGTTCCATTCCTCCCTAGGAAACTAATCATATTACCAGATGTTGAACCCCAAGCCTGGTGGCATGTAATCAAGGGAATTCCCAGGAGCCTCTCTTCATACCCTGGCTCAGATCTTTTCTTCCAATTAGTTTGTGCCCTCATCCTGTCAGGGCATGCTTAAACACCGAGGAAAAGGGCCTAAGCAGGGTATGTGAATTGTGAGAAGAACATAAAGTGGCACTGATTCTCACTCAAGACTAGCCTGGAAGGGGAGTATTTCATTATTTCACTGCTGCTGAATATTTTGGGGGATAGAGAAGATTGAAGAACATCAGAGCAATAACAGGAAGGGAGAAGTCAGGGATATCAAGGAAATGATAAAAGCAGAACTCTTGAAAGGGATGAACAAGGAGGTTTGGAGGAGACTGGGAGGAGAGCATTTACTGTCATCACAGTCCCCAAGCCCTGCATCCTCTCTTATCACAGGCTCCATCCTGGAGGTGCTTGTGAAAGCTGCGATTGCTTTCCTGAAGTCACCTGTGGATCCTGCTGTCTTTGTCCTGTGAGAGTGCCATGGAAGAGAGAGAAGTGCCTCTCCTATGCTGTGGTTCTCTATTTGACACCTAGCCTGTTGGTTTGCTAGTTTAAAAATAAATGACAGCCACCATGCCTTCACTCTGGGTTCCCCTTGTATTTCTTTCTCCAGTATGCTCTGGCAGCCTAGTGGCAGTGGCCCCAAACCCACTGCCTTTCTTGGAGGCATTTAACAGTCTTGCAAGGGTCACATGAAAAAGTAGGTCATATGGACTCCACAGTGAAGGTGGTAACTTCGATGCTTGGGTTGTCCAAATTAGAAAATTCTCTGCATTACATTTTTCTGCACACCTTTGATTTTATGTATGTATCAGGACCAGACTGGTGAGCTGAGCAGTTTTCCATCTTTACAAAGGTGGAAAACCAATAGTAGCCTCGATTTAATCTTTAAAGAGGGCGACTCAAGGTGTCCTGTGAGAATTAGCTTTGTTGGGGGTCACAGTGCTGAGGGATGCTTGGCCTGTGCTGACCTTTAGTCCTCGCCCTGGAGGACTTGGATTATGTGATCATGGGTGGAGACAGCTGTTTCTCCTTATCATTATGCATCCTTGTAAAGCTCTACCAGGATCCTTAGTGTTAGCCCAAATTTGTGAGGTCTCTAAGTCTGATCTATTGTAAAAGGAAGATTACAGTGAAAGACAGCTCAACATCCTATTCTACTGAAAATGGTCCCATTTGACATATTATTCTCTAAACTCTTGTTCTATCAATATTAAAAGAGCCCTCTATACATTGCACATAGAAATAGCTGATCTTTTATAGATTCATACCAAACCTATCCTAGCTTTATTATCCCAAAAGTTCCAGTCCAACTTCTCTGATGCATCCACTATTCATCAGTGTCCCTATACATGCCTTCTGTACAGGCTAACGTCCTTCTGTATAAAGCAAATAAACAACACTAGTCAGAAAACCCACTCTTAGAACCCTGGCCACACACTTTAATAGTTATGTTATGATGGGCAAAATAATTTAACCTCTCAGGAGTTTTAATATCCCCCTATTTGTAAAACTGATTAAACCTGAATTACTTGGTTATCACTTTCAACTAGGATACTCCAGAATTCTGAGCAGGCCCACGAGATAGGTTTTTATCCAAATCCGCCATTTTGTTGGGTCCTATTGGTGTGATGAGAAAAGAAATACTGCCAGAAAGGCCCTGTCATTTACTATGCAGAGCATGTACATCACATTATCTCAACTATAGTTCACTTCTCCCTTTCTCACCCTGCAGTTTCCACTAGGCCAAGGCTTGGAGGCTTCTAAAACAAACAGTAAAAGCAAAAACCAAGAAACACAGTCTTGGATCAAAATGCAAAACCAAAATAGCCAAATTGTGCAGAACCAAATACAGTCGACTGATATATTATTTCCTTTTGAGCACTCATTGATAAAATAGCATACAAGCTATAAATTCCTAAACAAGTCTCAGTTTTCAATCAACAAGTATGTTTGGCACGTTTATTGATGGCCCTGTCAATGCTGTGCTTCCCAGAGTAGGAACAAATCAAGCACCATCTGTCCTTTCAAGAACTGATCCAGACAAGGAGCACAGGAGAGAAGTTGCTGTCATCTCCCTTGGTCCTCTTCACCCTCTAGTTGTTTCCTGGCTGCTGTAGAGTTGGCCGTGAAAAAGATGACAGATAGCAGTCACCACAATTCTCCCGCTCAAACTGAGCCCAGGCCCTTCAGTGCAGAATTATTTCAGTGCAGAGTATCCTGTACTTCATAGACTTATTGATCTACCCATTGTCTGTTTCCTCAATTCCTACATTTAGTGTTTACTGTTCATCTTTCAACCCAGAGTCATTGTTTAATAGGTAAAGGAAATGGATGAGTTTACTTATGGGAACGAGGCCATACAACTGACCACTTTGACCTTGTATGAAATAGAAGGACCAGGACACATCCTTTGTCAAAAGTCAACACCCAAGACCAGGCATCCTAGCAAAGAACTGAGCCAAACTGACTCCCCCATCATGAAAAGCCTGCAAACAGGTTATAAAAGGAACCTTTCCATGCAGACTTCTCCCATCTTGCCAACTGCTTCTTGTAGCAAAGGATTTCAACAAATCTGCCTTTTCTATTCTCTACCATCTCTGGTGAATTTTTCACCACCACAACTCCAGCCTCACCCCACTGTTTCTCCCAACCACAATGTACTAGGTAATAAGAATTGAGTTAAAGAGAACTTAATGAGGAGTTCTGTTAGTTTAACTTAAGGTTTGGGTGTGTTCAATGTACATGGGATACTGTAGTTTGCTTGACATAGCGGGGTATAATGCTGTCAGATTAGCTCCCAGGACACCTGGTCTGCTCTGTCAGATCCAGAGGGTGTTCTGGCCTACTGTGCTTCCTTGAAATGTCTCCTGATCGTGGGAGTGGAGGCCAGAATAAAGCATGTGGAGTCACTTAGGAGTGGTGATGACACCACGTCACTACAGGGAGTTTCTGGCATTTCTAGCATTCTTTATCTCCCAAAAAGAAGGTGGACACTGGGCACTCTTCCTGGTGGCATAATGGGTTAAAAGTACAGCACTATGAAGCTATCTGCAGCCACTGCAGCACAAGTTTGATCCCTGGCCAGGGAGCTGACTCACGTGGCATAGCAGACCTCTCCTGACCTGCCCACTGCTCCCTTCAGCAGTGTATTTTAGTACATCTGCCTGTTCTGCTCCCAACTCTGTCTCTGGTGAATCCTCTCACCCCATACACCTCTGGCTTGTATCATAATTCTTGTATGCATAAATTAATAAATCTTTAAAAAAAACGTCGAAGGCAGACACTGGGCTCAGTTTGAGTGGGAGAATTGTGGTAGAATTGTATAGAATTGCTATCCGCCATCTTTCTCATGGTCAAGACTATGATAGCCAGAAAACAACTGGAGGGTGAAGAGGACCAGGGGAAATGAGAACAGCTTCTCTCCTGGGCTCCTTGCTGGGATCAGTTCTTGAAAGGACAGGTGGTGCTTGATATGTTCCTGCAACATGAAGTTCCTACAACATAACAGCTGTGTTCATTTATTACTTTAACTCCTCAGACAACTCACCTCTTCAATAGAGACTATTAAATTGTCAATAAGAAAGGTAAAGCAATTGAGTACTTTCCCACCAGACAATAAGTCAGAGGTAGAGTGAAAGAAAAGGAGTGGGAGGAAAAAATATGGCTGAAGAAATGTATCACTCAGTAAGTAGCCACCCTATGCTCTTCCATTTCTGACTTACAGTATAATTCTGCCCCACTGAGTTTTTCACAAATAAAGAAACTTCCACTCTTCTACTGAGATCCGAGCCCTGTCAACAAACAACAGGTGTCTGTCACTGGACTAAGAGTGCTTAGACTGAGCCCTGCTGTTTACAGTCAGGAAATTTCACTGAGTTATAGGTTGATAAATCACTGGTGGCTAAAATATACCAATACTTGAATTCCGGGAGAGTCAAACAAGGTAAGCCATTTTCTCTGATTAAAAAGAAAGATGCAAACTGTCCCACATATACACAGTAGCAAAACAGCTAGCTATAGAAATTTCACTGAAATTTCTGGGACTCATTCCCTTTGAAATGGAACATAAGCTGAATAAGCTTTTGGTCTCTCTAACTTAAGACCATACTTTTGTCAGAGGATGCAAAATTTAAAAATTAATACTTTTAGGGCTATGGAGAAGATTCCTCCAAATCTCAAAGATGAATCTATTAATAACAATTCTCTCAGAGAGGGGCAGCTGCTTTCTGTATGAAGTTGTTTTGGAAGCAGTGATGATGTAGTGGAAAGAGCTTAGCTTGGGAATGCCTGGACTCCTAGTCTAACTTTAGGAAAGATTTAACTGCTCTGAGTTCCAATGTCCTTAGCGAGCTCGTGATAAAATCACAATATAAAAGTGCATTGCGGCCCTCCCTGGTGGTGCAGCAGGTTAAAGCGCTGCACTAAGAAGCTAAAGCAACTTCCATGAGTTCGATCCCCGCCTGCCCCAGAGGTGACCCACATGGCGCAGCAGATCTCTCCTGACACGCCCACTGCTCCCCTCAGTCTGCCTGTTCTTCTCCCCGCTCTGTGTGTGGTGAATCCTCTCACCACCCCTGCACGTCTGGCCTGTACCCAGTTCTGTATGCATAAATAAATCTATCTTTAAAAAAAAGAAGTGCATTGCAAAATTCAAACAACCACTAACAGGGCTTAAGGGGATCTGAAAAAAATGCATAAGGAAGTGATCCAGAGAGTGTGTGTACAGGTCTTGTCTGCACAATCCAGGTGAGACTCAGTTCTTATAAATGAGAGACCTGAGCTCCTGGGTCTGAGCACACCGTATTCTGCTTGGAACCAGTAGATGTGAGGTCTTTGTGTAACACAGTGAACAGTGTGACTGTGTGGTAGACTGCGTGAGTGTTCAAACTCACACACTAACAGAGCCACACGCCAGGAACTTCCTGTTCCTCAAAAAAATGTATTATTGATTAATTAAGGACATCTGTACTCCTAAATTTATTGCAGCACTATTTACAATAGCTAAGATGTGGAAGCCACCTAAGTGCCCAAAAACAGACAACACTAGATCAAGAAGATATGGTATATATACATGGTGGAATACTACTTAGCAATCAAAAGAAAAATTCATGCCATTTACAGCAACATGGATGGAGCTGGAAGGGATTATCCCCAGTGAAATAAATCAAGAGGAAAAGAAAAATATTGGATGGTTTCAGCTAGAGGAGGAATATAGGGAAACTGAACAAGGCGTCAGAAAAAGACAAAACTACCAGGCAAACTATAAAACCAAGACATATAGCAGGGGAGGGGGAGAGAAGGATGAGATGGGGAAGAGCACAGGGATGTGGTGATGGTGAACTGGTGATGCCCTGGTGGGTGGAGTGTTTGGGGCTTACAGCTGAGCAGAGAAATCAAATATTGTATACAATTGAACGATGTAAGAAAAGAAATAAAGCCATAATGCTAAAAACAAAAAAGTGACTGCATATTTGAATATCAGAATAAGTAGTAAATTATTTTTCTTTATAACTCAGAGTTATATACAGTTATAAAGCTGTATTTGAAATATGGCTCTTCTGTTAATCAACTATGACAAAGAAGTTGCTTAAACTCTTTGAGATTAAAGTTTTAAATTTTTTCTACTAGAAATAGGTGAAATAATACTCCCTGCCAAATAGATTTCTAGTGAAATTGAAAGAACCAGACAGCACAGAACATAACTCTGACATACAGCAAATGCCCAGTAAATGGTAACTGTTATTAGAAGCAGTTTATTCACTAGACGTCCCAACTGGCTGCTGTCATTCTTGTGAGTATCCATCTGTGTAGCATCTGAACTTGCTTTGTGGTGTGTGTGTCTCCTCTTTTAAAATGGTCTCAGAGCAGTCTAGGTGTTATGCTACTTACTTTGCTAACAACTATGGTTGTACCTGTAATTTATTTTGCTCTGAGATCTAGTATAATCAGCACCATTAAAATTCCACTTTTATTATGTTAGATCACGGTCATTGAAAATTTTTACTGTTAAATCAAATAATTTCATAAATCACAAGAACTCATTTATTTGTTCAAATTAAGAAAATCCTTACTGGCATACCTAAAAGATGATTCTCTTTATATCATCTCATATATTTCCATGACAAAACAGTTAAAAACTTGACAAGGTGGCTTACTTCATTGCTCTATGTTTTCTAATAATTAAATACTTGCTTTTCTGCAATGAAGAGATATCTTTCTACCACATCTGCACATGATTCCTATGTCAACGCGGGGAACAGCATACATCAAGTCTACCAGCCCTCCAAGCATTTGAAGACTGCATTTTATTTCTGCTTCACCCAAATCTCTAACTCATCAGTGTGTAGTGCTTCAAAATGTTGGCTTTGAAATTAAACAGGCTCAGCTCACATTCTACTTTATAGAATTTCTTTTGGAGATTGTCATAATTCATCTAAAATTTAGCATAGCACTCAGCAGGAGATTAGTGCTTTAAATGAGTTATTAACTGAATATTCATTGTATAATCAATCATTTTCCTTTGGACATAATTGTTAACACCTTTATAATTATCATTGTCCTATGACTGTGACCAGTATGTGACAACTCCTCTTTAGGGGGCTGACTTAAAGGACATACACAGATGATTGATGCATAATAAAGAATTACTAGCTGATTAGGTTTATCTTGAAGAGTGATACTTACTAGAGGTAACTATTCACAGGTTTGAAGAGGTCACTTCAAAAGCAATAAAACGAGATACCACAAGCAAAGATGTCAAGGCAAAAAAGGCACCCTTTAGAAAAAATAAAGTTGGAACTGAAACCCATTCTACTATGCAAACAACCTCGGAGGCACAGAAGATGCTTCCTTCCCGCTTTAGAGCACCCCTTTCTGGTGACCTCATTACTGCTATTTCATAGCTGGATGATAAGCCTAGCAGACTAATTGCTCCCTTAGAGCTATCACTGAGTCCCAAAAAGGGCTTAAGGGGATCTGAAAAAAACTTCTAAGGAAGCGATCCAGGGAGAGTACGTGTACAGGTCTCGCCTGCAAAACTCTGGTGAGAATAAGTTCTTATAAATGAGAAACCTGAGCTCCTGGGGCTGAGCACACCGTGCTCTGCCTGGAAACAGTAAATGTGAGGTCTTGGTGTAACACAGTGGATGGTGTGACTGTGTGAGGGGTCAAACTGCTGCCGAGTCTCGCTGCTGAATCTTCATCCACCACACACTAACAGCAACTTCCTGTTTCTGTGGATTTGTTTTCCCTGAAATGGACTTAAGACATTGAACAGAATTGTGCAATCATACATGATCATGTTGTATGCCAAGGACCAAAGACCTCACTGACCAAGAAGTGATCCAGCTTTCACATCAGTTTGCAATGCTCAGAGACAAGATTCAGGTGAGGCACTAACAATAGATTATTGGCAATACTCCTCCCCAGAATGTCACTGTTCTTTCTTTGCCCTCTTCACTTGAGCCTAATTCTTGAGTGGTATTTGAGTGACTCATTTTGGCTAGTTCATTCACTTTAGACATATTTCCAGTGATAATGCCACAGTTTATGATTGGAAAATCCATGTTGAATGGGACTCTAACCTGAATGTTCCTATATTAGAACAGAATAATCTAGAGTCAAAGGAATAGGAAAAGCCTGGTGTCTGAACTCTAAAATTAAATTAGACATCAACTAAATGTTCTCTCTAGCCAAAGCTGGAACTGATGAGGAAGAAATCAGACAGGAAGACATTTCCACTATCTATATAAAGATGATTCGGACCTAGATAAGAGGGTTCATTGTCTAATAATGGAACAGGATGTCTTTGGGAGCAGGTGCACACAGAGGCAGAATTCCTATTAACAAAGGCCACAGACAATGGAATGAAACAGGTCTGAGTCTTGGCACTGCAACATACTAGCTTTACAACCCTGGCAATGTGTAATTTTTCTAAGCTTCAGCTTCTAGATTTGTAGATGGCCACAATAAGAATCCATTCTTACATTCTTTATTTAAAAAGTGAGTCATATTTGAAGTTGGAGCTTAATTGTTAGAATGCTGTAACTGTTCATTAACATGGATATATATATATACATATGTGTATAGAGATCACTTCAAAAGCAGTGAGACAAATGATCTCACAAGGCAACTCTAAAAAAGGATAAAGTTAGCATCAAACCCATTCTGCCAGGCAAACAAACTTGGAGGCACAGAAACACTTCCTACTTTAGAGCACCCCCTTTCTGGTGACCTCATTACGAGACATGAATACATATGTGTCTGCTTATATGTGGGGGTACATATGTACATGCATTATTGCTGTTACTAAGTGAGTAATGGCAGGAAGAGGTCACTTGTGTCCCCTGCCCCACACCTTGCTCTTGACTTCCTTGACTATTTTATGTAGGTCATTGTACATCTTACTTTGTCACAGTACTTTATGCTTTCCTTGTTGGTAGCATTTCTCCTGCTTAATGTTTTAGAGTTGCCTCAAATCCACTTAGATGAAAAGACCCAGAAGAATGAAAGCAACATCTTCTGATAGAGGGAATATTGGCCCTGCTGAGTTTGGAAGGAGATAATCTGAAGAGGATCTGATTTCAATCTACTCAGCAATGTTATCAATGAAGCATTTATTTGCAGATAGCTAGAGAATACCTACATTAGCGAATACCTACATTAAATAAAGACATTAAAAGAAGTCTGAGCTAAAACAAAGGAACACTTTTCATTAGGGCTTATAGTTTTGTCAAATGTTTTTACAGACATTTTGTAAATGTTATTATGATTTCAGTATTTTTGTTGCTCTTATTATAACAATTTTGAATTTCTTTGTGTTGAGGCTGAAGTGGTGTCTTTGAAAGATACTAAGTAAATGTTTTACCTAATATAGCTACTAAGAGGCAAACCAGGATTCAAACAAAGTGCTCTGTATTCTGATTTTCATTTAATTCTCTGATGTTATTCACAAAGCAATGTGCAGTAGCAGTTTGTTAAAACTCAAAGATATCATTAGGGATGAAATATAGATATGACCAAAGAGAACAAAGCCATGAATTAAAAAAGGTTTCCAACTCAGCAAGAGAAGGCTTGAATCTATCCCTACAATTTTGATCTCCTCAGAGAGGAGAGTCATCCACTTTGCAAACCTTCCTTCCTGGCCTGAATGGACTCTGGCTCAGAGATAGGCATTTCACATCACCTGACATTTTTATATAGATCTCATCTTTCCTAAGAGGGATGGTTGTTTCTTGTTTAAAAACACAGTTAAGGCACTTAGCAGCAAATATCTCACTCATTTGAGATTGATGCTCAGACTTTGGTGTCTTGGGCTCCTTCTCTAACTTCCTGGAGCTATGAGGAACCGCTCAGTGGTGACTGAGTTTATCCTGCTGGGCATCCCAAACACAGAAGATCTGGAAACGATACTCTTTTTCCTCTTTCTGACCTTCTACATCTTCACGCTTATGGGGAATCTGCTCATCCTCCTGGCCATTATCTCCTCCACTCGCCTGCACACCCCCATGTACTTCTTCCTGTGCAAGCTGTCTGTGTTTGACATCTTTTTCCCTTCGGTCAGTTCCCCCAAGATGCTCTTCTACCTCTCGGGGAACAGCCGGGCCATCTCCTACGCAGGCTGCGTGTCCCAGCTCTTCTTCTACCACTTCCTGGGCTGCACCGAGTGTTTCCTGTACACCGTGATGGCCTACGACCGCTTCGTTGCCATCTGCTACCCTTTGCGCTACACGGTCATCATGAGCCACAGGGCGTGCGCCCTCCTGGCCTTCGGCACTTCATTTTTCGGCTGTATTCAGGCCATCTTTCTGACTACGCTCACCTTCCAGTTGCCCTACTGTGGCCCCAATGAGGTGGACTATTACTTCTGTGACATCCCCGTGATGCTGAAGCTGGCGTGTGCGGATACCTCAGCCCTGGAGATGGTGGGTTTCATAGCCGTGGGCCTCATGCCCCTCAGCTGCTTCCTTCTCATCCTCACCTCCTACAGCCGCATTGTCTACTCCATCCTGCAGATCCGCTCTGCAGACGGCAGGCGCCGCGCCTTCTCCACCTGCAGCGCCCACCTCACTGCTATCCTGCTGTTCTACATGCCCGTGGTCCTGATCTACTTGAGACCAACCCCCAGCCCCTGGTTAGATGCAACAGTTCAGGTCCTGAATAACCTGGTTACCCCCATGCTGAACCCCCTGATCTACAGCCTCAGGAATAAGGAGGTGAAATCATCCCTGAGGAAGGTCCTCCATCACCTGGGCTTCCTTCCTGAGCAGCTGTAGAGATGATCAGAAGTCAGTGCTTCAACTTTAAATAGTTCTCAAAAATACTTTAAGTGTGAAAGATATTTTAAAGATTATCTCCATTTTACAATATGGAGGTTAAGGGTTAAAGAGACTTCTTGAAGGATGTGTCCAAGCTTCAAGTAGCACTCTAGAAAAACCTGAAGCAATTGTGTAGAGAGGACTCCAGTGGAGACCTGGGCAAGTTCTCTGAGAGTGAAGCAGAGGTGGTGGGGAGCTGTCCCCTCCAAACCCTTGCTGTTTGACTTGGACTTGGAAGCAAGTCCTGATGGTAGCATGCGAACAAGAACATGGAATGGGCATATGGGTGTCTGTGCTGTGAGTCTGGACATAGCCCCGAATTGCTTGGCACAGCCAGTGGGCACCACTGGGTCTCTATGCTGTCATGGTTTGGTGTCTGGCATTTCCATATACTGAGAGATTTTGACGGTGGTCTGCATGCCTATGCTGCTTTATTGTTTGGGCACAGAATATGCTAAGAATGAAAGTTTATTATTTTAATACACTGAGTTATTGTTTGCATGACTAAATTCTTTGAGAATCCTGACACAACAGGGAACTTGGTATGAAGTCTGTTCTAATAGTCATGGAAAGAGCACTAGAAGAGGACGATGGAGGAGGGACAGGCAGAGGCAAGGTGATAGTTTTCTCACTGCACCTCTCAGAATCAGACAGCAGCCAACTAATGGAGACCATTAAGCTGAATTTTTGAATTCACAGGGGCAGAGGCAACTGGAGAATCAAGATCGAAGGCCAGGGGAGTCAAAGATGTGGGAGAACAAGAAGCTTAGGTTCAGAGTCCATTTTGAGCAGAGGAAGGTCTAACCACAGCATTTGTCCAGACACCAATCGAGCACAGTCTTGCAGTCCCCTTCAAGACTTGACACAGGTGCATTCTGGTTTCTTACGAGGCCTTTCTGTTCACCCCAACACTTTCTGCAACATTCATGGTCATCTCCAGTCACTGTTCCTTTTTGCTCTCCTCTAAATTAGTTACACAATTAATAACTGCAGCCCCAAGAGAGAACCAGTGGGGTTCTACAGTAGAAATCTACGTCATGGCCACTGAGGTGGTGTGCACATGGTGGCTACGACAGTGTGGGGCTTGTGGAGAGAGGTTTTCAAGGGAATGGTCGCAGCAGCAGAGTCTGCTCTGTTAATTCCTTGCCCTCCCTGGCACCTTGCTATTTGTTCTAAATCAAATGGACTGAAATGAATAACTAGTCGCAAATATTCTAGTCACAATTCCAAACATCAAGCAAGGAGAACAGCATTGCTTGTTTCACTAATTCACTTACAGTAAGAGCAGTGAAAATGCCCATGATTAGCAAAATGTTGAATCAGTAATCGAATGTATAATTTATCACCCTTTCATTTTACATTCTGTTGTTTAAAAGTACTATTTGTGTGATTGTTTTGATAACATTCCACAAGCACATCAAACGTCACATCCTTCATTGTCCTAATGCATATACTGAAAATGTATTCTCAATTCCAAATTACAAGAAAATAACTTTACTGAAAAATATATGAAGTATAAAGAATTATGGTACAGTAACACTGTGTTATACCCACAAGAGTAAGAAAGAGTGGTGGTGTCAGTGCCGTGAATATTCCAGCAGTCCCCAGCCTGGTTTTATAGCTTTCATTCCCTCTAAAAGTCCTGAATTTTGTGATGATTATTTCCTCTTTTTTTCTGAAACACATTTATGAAGTACAAAACTTAGTACAAATTTCTAATCTTGAGAATAAAATTCCTCAAAAGTGAGGTAAAGATGACCTACTTGGGGTACCTTGTGATCCAGAGGAGACCAAAAACCTGAAATGGGAGTTAGAGCACTATACCTAGATGTTCCCAGCACCACCCAGGGGTCATAGTAAATCAGAGCCTTGTGCAATACAAGCCTCTGGCGGTGGGATGAGAATAGCACCCTCATTCCTAATAACACTAAGTGTGGAAATTTAGAAAATAGTCCTTCCTTCTTGAAGTAGGTTATGGAAAACTCCAGACAAGAGATACATTTATAAAAAGTTCTTGTCACTTCATGTAAGATTTCTCCAAGGCATTTCATTAATTAATCTCCAAGGTACTGATGCTGATGAGATGTTTTTCACATCCAGTAATATATATTTTTAACCCCCTTAAGTTTTGATCCCCACTTGTGAACTATGTAATGGGGCAAAGTGGGCCTAGTAAGACTGGGAATTAGCTCAGAAATTGAAAGAAAGCTTGTTGAAGTGTTTATGATCTTGGGTTTGAGTTCTGTCTGCAATTATTCCAAAGAAAATCTGAGTATTTCACACACACAACTAGCACAACACTTCCTTTCCACTCATCTCTGTTCGTGCACAATGTCATTCACATTAGGTTTTTCAGCATTTCTAAGAAGAGGTCATCTTACTAAATCACTGCATTTTAAAAATGGGGGAGATCCAAGACATTGCCGCACTTACGATAGTAGGTGACAACATGCCAGTTATCAGTTATTATGCAGTTAAATAACTCGATAGAACAGCAAAACATGGGTTTTTTATGTCAAGCCTTCAAATGACTCTGTATTCTGAGTGTTGACTCTTTTTGCTCTTAAAAAAGAATCACTGGAATCTGTCCTTCATACTCCAGTGCTTGGAGCTGGCTTTGTCTCGGAGAATTAGAACAAGGCAATTAGGCTGAACAGCTGAGCCATAAGCAATTTGAAACTCAGAGTTTCAAGAGGTAATGCAGAAGGCTCAATTTATCAACCATGACAGTCTCTTGGCTTAAATTAACTGGGTACTTGCTGATCTTTCCATCAGTGCTTGCTGTGAAGACATATTTCATGTCAACCTTCCCTACTCATAAATGCAAAATATAGAAGTACTTTACATTCTTATAAGAATATGTTATTTAAAAATATTTTTAAGGAAACATTTAACTACCGTAAGAAAGCAAAAAACACACACAATGTAATTAACAGGAATAAATAATTTTGATATGAAGAGAAATCTGTTGTTTTTAATAAAATGTTATAAATACCCTTTAAGGCCCTCCATAAGCAAACCATCTCTATCAAAATAGACCAATTTTTGTATTCTTTTAGACATAAATGGAAAGAGATGAATTTGACCTTAAATACATAAGTAGTGATACATAATAAGTATGATGAAACAAGAGGTCAAAACTACATATATAAAATACAACTCAGAACAGTGAAAACAAAGTAATTACTATGCTATTCCGTGTCACTCCATTTAAAAGAAAGCAGTGGAGTCTAATTAGGGACTTAAGTCTTCTATTCATCGCATCAGCTTTTAAGTTCTTACAATTATCTCTGTTCTTGTCTTATCCACCTTTAGGCTACAAGCTCCCTGGGAATAGACAGTGTGTCCCATGTATCTTCTGTCACTAATCCCATCTTTATTTCCCCTGCAGTGGTTCATTAAAAGGGCAGAAGCACAGCTGAAAGTCTACCACCACTGGTAACACTGCACTGGATCTCCTTTTGTAAATGATAACTACATACACGGCCACTCCCTCCTCTGAAAATGTCATTATTTATAGAAATACATCTATCTATTTGGGAACCAATGTGTCTATCTATTTGGGAACCAGTGCGAGCAGAAATAAAGTGGAACAGTTAGACTAGGCCCCACAACAAAAGATAGTCTAAAAGTAAATAACTATATTATTTTTTATATCTTGCTTATAAAATAGAACAATTGAGTCAGATGTCATCTTAGAGATTCCCAATATTAAACCTTCTCTGTTAAATGAGTGAGGCCTGTGTAACTGAATGAGTGCATGAAATAAGTGTACAAAATGGGAATTCTGTTCTCCTTCAAGGGATCTGAAGCTTCAGTGGGCCTTTTCCCACTTTAATTAACCAATAAATTAATTTAGCAAATGTTCATTAAGAATCTACTAAGCAGCTAGTTTCTACAGATAATAAAAAATGAATCAGATGTGTAATTAACTGTGAGACAAATTGCATATAATCTGTCACAAGAAAGAGTAGTTAAATATGAAATTGGTTAACTAGAAGAGGTTAATTTGATCTGGAAGTATCAGAAAATGCCTGAAGAAGGAAACAATATATAAACTGGGTCTTATTGGCTGGTAAGATTTGGAAGACCCTTTGACAGAAAGACAGCATTTTTTTCTTTAGTTAAAAAAGTAGTAACGGGCCCTCCCTGGTGGCGCAGCGGGTTAAAGCACGCATGAGTTCGATCCCCGCCGGAGGAGATCCACATGGCGAGGCAGACCTCTCCTGACCCACCCGCTGCTCCCCTCAGCAGTGTACTGCGTTGATATGCCTGTTCTGCTCCCCACTCTGTCTCTGGTGAATCCTCTCACCCTCTGCATCTCTGGCCTGTACCCTAGTTCTGTATAAATAAATAAATAAATCTTTAAAAAAAAAAGGTAGTAACATGAAGTGTCAGATTATGTGTTTATTTTATTATAATATAAATTGGCACTATATATATGAGACTATATGTGTATAGAATATATGCATGCATATGCAATATATAACACTGTATATGCAATTTGTCTCTGATACAAATATATGTATATATAAAACATTAGACATTATTTCATTTTATATTACTTATATAGTATAGTATTTTTATAGTATTTAAAATGTGTATAGCATTTTTTTGTATAATATATTAATTTTGCATAAGATATACAAAAGCACTGCCTCTGTTGTTAGGACCTAATAGGGAAGGCTGAAAATCAATTAGGCCATCTTTCTGTGGTCTCTCTCTGCATCTGGTTTCTATGGAGACCTTGAGAGGACCCTGTGAGTCACTAACAGACCAAACTTGAAGCTTTAAGGTCAGTGAAAATGTTCCCAGTGAAATATCACAAAGTTCACCCAATGCAGTGAGGCCTCTTATCTTACATTCATAATGCCAGCCACCATATTCTCAGGCCCTTGATAATGCACCCAAATATACTGCACGCAAGTGATGTCACTGTTGTAGCCCTTGAAGAATCA